TTAGGCTAAAAATACCTGAATTCAGTATCTAGCTGTCCCATTTATCAGGAAATTTTAAAAATTTCTTTAAACAAGTCACTGAATTTCTCTCAATCATTTTCATCAAATACAGATAATAATCCCTACTATACATAATTATCATGATGATATAAGATTAAAATTCTTAGTGTAGACCTTCATAGAGAAGGTAAATAAAATCAGTATATTTAATCTGAACGAATAATTTATTGACCAATGGCAAAAGTTGAGAGGCTCTATAGGAAAAACAGAGTCAGGGACAAGAAGTGATGTCCTGACTCCGGATTGCTTAACACTGGAAAAGGCCATGGAGTAAGAAATTTGTGAAATTTCTCTTATTATTGAGACATTTTCTTGCTCTTAAATAGTAAGAAAAGACTAACTGACCTTTGAAGGGACTGACCTACCATATATTCCCTCACTCATCAGAGAAAACACAATTTGTAGATAAATCAGGAGAACCTGCTTTTCTACTGTGCCAAACATAAAGTAAAAGTTTGGAAATGTCATATCTAACTAAAAACTCATTTAATTCTTTGGTCAAATCAAGGGACACCCTCATCTCTTAATCTTTTAAAATTAACCACATGTTTTACACAGTGTGCATACATTAAGGAGCAGTAGAGAGATGGAGTTTTAATTTTTACCAATTCAATTTAAATGCAAATTTTAACCACTCACATGATGCTACTGTGTACATAATTAAACATCATTATATACTACATGAATCATTTAGAAACCACCCGAGAGCCATTCTACAATGTAAAACATGCATTATACCGACAGGCAGCCAAATGACGTATATGTCTGTCCTCATTAATGTTCTTTTTGAATTATAGGTCAACCGATTATGGAACAACCTATGAGAAGCTGAATGATAAAGTTGGTTTGAAAACCATTTTGAGCTATCTCTACGTGTGTCCTACCAACAAGCGTAAGGTAAGAAATGTATATTCGGCATGCTACTCATTCACAATGTGACTTCTGTCTTGATTGGCTAACCTCTCTAGCTACCTAAAAATCCATTACAGTTAAGCTGGGATTAGAAATGTTAAGATGAGTTGATGGATGTTAAGGTTGTAAAATGTCTGACACATCATAATTTTCAGATCAGCAGCTGTGAGTGTAAGAGGGCGCGGGATAGGTAGATCATTACCATTTCCGAAAGGCAGCTACAAAGAATGAGTCTTGTTGAGTGAATGCCGCTCACTCTCTTGTAAGAGTTCCTACCGGTCAATCACAAGAATTAGAATGAGTCTTGACAAGACAGCAGAAAAGATGGCTTTTCATCTGATGTCCCAGTTTTTCCTTAACATGGAACAAACAGATTAAGTAGAATTTAAGTGAATGCATTGTCCTACAGCAGATAGGAAGTTTCATTTTTAATGTTGGTTTAGTCTGCACACAAATGTCAGGGTAAATGCAATGCATTTAGCAGAACAGGGGAGCTTGGAAAGAGTGGTAAGATTAGTCCCTTCTGAGCATGGATCTTAGCTGCAAGGAGCCTTGGAGATGGTCATATACAACACCCTTATTTGCAGATAAGAAAACTGAGATTCAGAGAAAAGAAATAGTCTGTGCCTGTTGCAGTTACGGCCACAATTGGGACTAGAATTAAGTTGTCTTGGTTAGCAGTCAGTCATACTTTTTCCTCTGTGTCATACGTCTCCTATTAAAAGCGCTTACCTACTCCTCACATACGTCATTTTTTAGGAAGAAAATACTACTTTTAAATGAGAAAGACATTATTTGTCTCAGAAGAGGAGTGGTTCCACATCTATACCTTTGTTTTCGTAAACTTCCATTATCAAATTCTGAGTTCTGACATAATTGCTAAGTATTACATAGGTTACATGAACTAATAGTATTAATCAGGAAAAAGAAATGTGTCATTCCTGAATGTATCCTAAACCACAGTGCGTTATGAAGGTAGCAATGATGTATATGTTCTCATCTTAGATTTTTCATTAGCTACTCTTAGTGACCTTGGGTAGGGTCTACGTTTTGCCATCTGGACTATGGAAGGTGATGAAAATATCTCTCAAGCATTCACTCTCAATCCTGGCTGCATGTCAAAAGGACTAAGTGGTCTACAAATGTGCAACCTCTAGTCCCACCACTGTTGCTCTGGATTAGGGCTCAGGTAACTGTATCTTGATAAAGCTCCCCAGATGCTTCTATAGGTATCTAGGATTAAAAACCACTAATATAAAATGTAACATGTTCACTCTGGCTGTAGGCATTTCAAGTTTTTCAGTAGAAGCAGCATAGCTTTTCAGCTGAGCATAGACTCGAGTCAGAAGACCAGTAAACACCCAGCTAAACCAGTCACTAAGTATATAAGCATGGTGATGTACTTAGTCTCTCCAAGCAGCATTCCCTTTAAAAGGGGGACGATTATATGGTACCTACCTCATGCGGGAAGTCGTATGAATTATATGAAATTAGGCATTTCAGGTGCTTAGCACAGAATAGTAAAAGCTTAATTGTTTTCTCTTCACTTCATTCTTTTTTCTTTCTGCAGTGTCCAGTAGAAATTTCTGTGATTTTAGAAATTTTCCTCTAAGCTGTCCTGTACTTTAGACATTAACAATTTATGACTGTTGAGGATTTGAAATATGGCTGGTGTAATTTGAGTAATTGGATTTTAAATTTCATTTAATTTTAATTCATTTAAATTGACATAGCCATGTGTGGCTGTTCGCCAGAGTACCACACAGCCAATAATGTCAGCCTCACAAATTTAGGATTATACCTTGAACATTCCTATCTTCCCTTTACTGGCTGGGTACTTCATCAACAATTACAGCTAAACAATTTTGATCTGCTGTATGCAGTCCCAAATTGAGGAACTGAACTTATACCTTTTATTTCTATAATGAGATTTAGTTGTTTCTTGGCTTTGAATTGATTTTTGTAATCTCTATTGATTTTTCTTCTAGTTCATATTTTTAGCAAATTTAATTTAATAATCTACAAACTGTATGCTAGGCAATGCTACGCACCACAGGATATAAAGAGAAATAAGCCAGGGACTCATCTTCAAAGGTCCTGTATTCTAGTACTAAATGTGGCATGACTTTTTGTAATTGAAAGATCCCTGAACTAAGATTCAGGAATCCAAGTCCCTGCCTTGATTCTAATTCTACCTAACAGGTGACTCTGGGTGAATCGTTTACATTTTCTCCATTTGTAAAGTCATATAGGGAAATGGAAGAAATTTACGGCTGGAAGAGACCTCAGAATAATCTAATGATAGTCTCTGTTTTATTGATGCTGTTGGAGATAAACATGAAAAAATAAAAATATGCCAAATATTGAATGTGATTATAAGCTTTTCTGTAGCTAGAGATTATATGGTGATGACCCAGAAACTCCAGGATTGTTTTAAGCAGTGGGACTCTCAAATCCAGATGTAACTGCTACGACTGGAAGGGAAACAGAGAAGCAATACAGCAAAGAGTCTAACCATTGAATCCATTCAAGTCATTACACCATTAATCAGGCTGCATAATTAGTCCATAGTTATCTGAAGGACTTTTAAAAGGGCATTTTACTGATCTTAACACTTGAGACACCCTTGTTTTAGAAAAAGAGAAGTCCCTGTGTGTGACTGTGAGGGAATGGCTTTCTCTGGGACTGTTACCCTTCAGAGCAGAGGTGGTCCTGAGCTGTTTAAATCACAATGTTATGAGTGAACCTAAAGTAAGGGATCTTTTCCTCTACAGATAAATGAGGCCTTTAGGGTCATTTTCTGAGATGCTGATAGATTTAAGAAATATTGGAGGACAATGAAGGTCTTAACAATGGTACAAAAATCAATAAAGTTGACATAGCAGTATATTTGTACACAGTTTTTCTACTTATGAGGTGAATTTATCACCATGAACTATGTACTCCGCCCCCCCAAAGGACATATTTGAATCAAAGAGATAGTACTTGCACAACATTTTAAACTGTGAATATATTTTCTCCAATCAATGAGAATTTATGTTAAAAAGAGAAAAGAAAGAAATTTCAGGGTCTGTTAATTATGCAGAACAAAGACAGCGCTCAAATTTGCTCCAGTTCTCCTGGGACTTGTGCCATCCTCCAGTGAAAAGGGCAGGCTCCTTTAAAAAGTTGTATTAATTCTCTCAGGTCTCCAGGGTGCCATCTAGCAAGTTAAAATCTTTTGTACCAGATACTTCTCTCTGCTTTTCACACTAGTGGGAGCAGCTGGAATAAAACTGACAACATCAGGGTAACTCTCTGCATTCCCCGAAACCTGTTTTGCCTTCACATTCTTGTAGCTATTTTTAGCTGTTTGTGCGGACAAGAGCAGTTCTTCAATCATCATGTTTGAAACAGCAGGCTTCATGCCTCGGCTTTGCAGTCAGCTTGTTAGGGGAACTAGCGAGGATCAGAGTCCAGAATAAAACAGGATCCTATTTACAGTTTAAATTAATGATCATCCCTGGGCTGTTTCCCTGCAAGCCTGCTGTAAATTACAGCAGCTTTCCTTGACTAGTGTCTGTTACAGTAAAAACTGTAATCTCAGTGTACGTCGGTGTAAGGAATCTTGACTCAGAGATAGAAAGAGGCCTCCTACGTATTAGCCTAGATTGTTCACACTCTCTTTCAAAGGAACCCCGCATCTGGCCTCTGATCTATGAGGTTGGCCCAAAAGAACAAGGCTGAGTGGTTCTAGTGCCACAGGAAAGGCAGGCTGGCTATCTGTCACCATGTCTCAGAGGGAGAACAATTCCCCCCGCTCCAGTTCATGATAAATTCCAAGGCTTGTTTGTATCAGCAGAGGTTTATTGGCCACATACAGTTTGCTATAAGAAAAGATGATGTAACCTGTACCTGAAAGGAACAACTGGGATGCAGAAGGTAATGGGAAGAACAAATACAAATGCAGCAAAGAAAAAAATGTTGAAATCTCCATTTCACTCTTAAATTGTCTCTGAGTTTATGCGTATTCTGCCTAAAAAGAAGACTTCTGTATACTCTGTGTTTCTTTATCAGCAACACCTTTCCCATCACCCCCAACCAGCCTTAGCTTTTCCCCCTTCTCAAGGGATCGTGTAACATCTTCAAGGATTGAAGAATACAAAACCCCAGCCAGGCATGGTGGCTCACGCCTGTAATCCCAGCACTTTAAGAGGCCGAGACGGGAGGATCACGAGGTCAGGAAATTGAGACCATCCTGGCCAACATGGTGAAACCCTGTCTCTACTAAAATACAAAAAATTAGCCGGGCGTGGTGGAGTGCACCTATAGTCTCAGCTACTCAGGAGGCTGAGGCAGGGGAATTGCTTGGACTTGGGAGGTGGAGATTATAGTAAGCCGAGGTGGAGGTTACAGTAAGCCGAGATCGTGCCACTGCACTCCAGCCTGGCAGCAGAGCAAGACTCCCTCTCAAAACAAAAACAAAACAAAAAACAAAACCCCAACTGGAATTCTTTTAGCTATCTTACCCTTATAGTCTCAGCACACTGTATTCTAGTAAAGAAAAAATGTAGACAGTATTTGTTCTTTACGTTTTCTACGCCCCCTTCACACTCCAGCTTCTTCTCATTTCTGTGTTATCACCAGTTAATTTACCTCATTCCTGCTGAGAGACTCTTCCAAGACTTTCATTCTATAAACAGACCTCCTCAGAACACATTGATCATTCCTACAGGTCTCTTGGTACATACCAGCATTAAACACTGTTTGCGTTTTCTCCAGATGTTTAGGTTTTAATTACCACATTGTATGTGACACTTTCTAAATAAGGGTTTGATTGTTGACTTATTGTCTCTTTATAAATTCCTCTTATCATTTGGTTGGGTGGTTTGTATGTCATGTATGTGACTCTTTTTTTTTTTTTAGGTGGAGTCTTGCTCTGTCACCCAGACTGGAGTGCAGTGGTGTGATCTCTGCTCACTGCAACCTCCACCTACTGGGTTCAAGCAATTCTCCTGTCTCAGCCTCCTGAGTAGCTGGGACTGCAGGTGTCCACCACCACACCTGGCTAAATTTTGTATTTTTAGTAGACATGGGGTTTTGCCATATTGGTCAGGCTGGTCTTAAACTCCTGACTTCAGATGATCCACCCACCTCGGCCTTCCAAAGTACTGAGATTACAGGTGTGAGCCACCGAGCCCCGCTTTTTTTTTTTTTTTTTTTTTTTTTTAAGTTGAAGTCCTATTTAATTACCCAGGCTGGAGTGCAGTGGCACAACTGCAACCTCCGCCTCCTGGGTTCAAGTGATTCTCCTGCCTCAGCCTCCTGAGTAAATGGGAGCACAGGCATGTGCCACCACATCCGGCTAATTTTGGTATTTTTAGTAGAGACAGTAGAGATGGGGTTTCACCATGTTGACCAGGCTGGTCTCAAACTCCTGACCTCTGGTGATCCATCTGCCTCAGCTTCCCAAAGTGCTGGTGTGAGCCATCACGCCGGGCCTATGTATGTGACTTGAGGACAGCAAAGAAGGATAGTTGGTAGGATCCACCATCTTCATTTAGGAAGAATCATATATTTATACTCATTGAATCTGAACCTAAAAGATGTTGGGATATTAAAATTATATTTTCTTTAACAGATATGGAAACTGAGTCCCAGGGAGTTTACTGACTTTTCTGAAGTTACATGGAACTGGGGAATGATAAACTAAGATCGTTAGACCTTGGAAGTAAACCTTAAGTGCCACCTCTTCCGTAAACTCTAATCAATTTCCCTAATGAGGCTTGCTCACTTCCTCTCATCTCTAACACATCTGTTTTCCTTTTTTTCTAGCACTTTACTCTCACTTCTGATTATAGTTGTTTTTGACCATGTCTAATCCTCCCTTTAGAATGTAAGGTCCTAGATGGGATACAGTCCCTTAATCAGCTATGTGTTCTTCAACGTGCTGAGCATAGGATTTTGGTATACAGTAGGTGTCCAATACATGACTCAGTATTTGAATTGAACTTTGGTTGGCTTTTGGACTCCCAGGCTGAAACTTAAAAGATGAAGTGCTCTGTGAAATCAGCTTTGACTCATACATTTTCTCTAATTATAAAATTAATTATTTCAAGTGAATAAACAAGAACGCTAAAGAATCTCTGTAGGTTTTAGTCATTTCTAGGTCATAATGTATAATGTTGTCTGTTCTAACCAAGGAGAACATGATTAATATTTAAAATAGCAGGACTTTGCATAACGCTCACTTGACATTATCTAGTGAGGCCAAGGGGAACCAGCATATTGTATAATACATCAAAGGGGGTGCATGACATTCCCTTGGTGGACAAGCACCGCTTGCTCATTCTACCCTCTTTGATCTGTCCCTTTGTACACAAGATCATCCATTTGCCTCTAATCTTTTAAAAAAGAATGTATGCTTCGTTCATGAAAAAATGGGCCGTGCGTGGTGGCTCATGCCTTTAATCCCACCACTTTGAGAGGCCAAGGTGGGCAGATCACTTGAGGTCGGGAGTTCAAGACCAGCCTGGCCAATATGCCGAAATCATATCTCTACTAAAAATACAAAAAATTAGCCAGATGAGATTGTGGGTACCTGTAATCTTAGCTACCTGGGGGACTGAGGTGGGAGAATCACCTGAACCTGGGAGGCAGAGGTTGCAGTGAGCCAAGATTGTACCACTGTACTCCAGCCTGGGTGAGACAGAGCGAGACCCTGTCTCAAAAAAAAAAAAAAGCCATTTTGAATTGAGAGGCGTAGTGGAAGTGGCATTTTCCAAACTTCAATAAAAGTGACTTCTTAGTGAATAAATAGTTAATTCCCTACACATAACCTGAGGAATGATGGCCAAAGGGAAAGGCCCTCTCCTTTGATCCTTTTTTGGGTGTAGCTGAGTGTTTATACTGTTTCAGTCCATGAAGCATTGTTCTGTTTTCTTCTTGTACATTAAAAACATAAAATCCAAGAAAGCATGCTGCATCTGTCTTTTTTTCTCTGAGTGATTTTCCAACAGTTATCCCCTGGGTTTCAAGCAAGCTGCAGAATAGTAGGTGCAGAATGCTCTCTTTGAAACAGGGTTGGAGTTCCAGGAGCGGTGCCCACTAGACAACCCCTTCTCACTCTAAGAAGACCCTGGGGAACCCTCTGGAACTTCTGGGCTCTTTGGAACATAGAGAAAAACAACACTGATCTAGGATATTTTTCTCTCTGTACACTGACCTATACTTGGAATTGCCATGTATCCTATATTAGTTTATATAAATCAAAGCACCTATTATAACATTCATAAATTTTTAAATGCTAATAAAACTACACTTACATTTTAGTACAATATATTATATAAAACAGTAAGTACCTAGTTGATTTTTGTGAGATATTATCTATGTCTCTCTAACACTGATGTTGTAAAAAAAAAAATTAATGATAAATCAGGTTCAGGTAACAAATTCTGATCAATGCATAGATTCGAAAACTTACTTTTTCCTTCCTCCTGTCTTTCCTCATTCCCCGTATCTGCTAATCTGCCTGGGTTCTTAGAACTCATCAGGTTACCTGGTAGTTTACTGTTTTACTTCATGTGGCATTAAGTAGTACTAAGTACTTTTTTGATAGAAAGAAGCTTCCTGCATGATTAACATGTTTGTTATTCTTCATTTATAAGGTGTTATGTCTATCACATAGGATAAGCATCCAGTGCATTACATATTAATCATGAATTGGTGACTTTAGAAACTAAGTTATATCTGTATGATGATCAAGTTTATGTTATTGATATTACAATTCAAAATTGTATTAGCTACATTTATGTATTTTTGAAAGATACAAGTAGTTAGCTAGATCAATAGGTAGAAAGAAAGGTAATAGGTCCACCTATAAATCTTTTCTATGTTTAGATAATGCTTTTTTAATTAAAAATAACAGAACTCTACCTTTTGGTTTTATACCTTTTTAATAAATGAAATTAATCAAGGTAATGATAACCTAAATTACTCTCTAAATATTATGAAGTAAGATTGATCTGGAAACTGCATGTTTTTAATATCACTGAGCGCTTGGAAAATAGGCTGCCTCTGTGGCCCAGTGATCAGAAATTCTCAAATATGAAAGGAAACCTTCAAAGGCTGACCATTCTTCAAATAAGCATGATAGACTGTCTGCGTAATCTTCTTTGAAAACAATTTTTTTAAGTTATCTCTGTCTACTTACTTATTTATTTTTGTCTCATTATCTGTCCTTATTAGAGCTCATGCTTTCTGAAGTCTGGCTGGCCAAATATTAAGTGCCCATTTATTACCCTTTTATGAAGGTCAAATATATTATTTCTGGTTGGTTCCAAGTTATGCTCTGCTGTGGGAAATGGTCAGAGGTCTTTTCAACATTCTGGTCTGTTTGCTTCCAGCACACTCCCTGTGGTTTCTCAGGGGTTTCCATCATCTAGTGTTTGACATACTGTATCTAGAACATTTGTTTCTAGTGAATAGGCTGTGCTGCTTTTATGGTGGATGGAGATGAATGCTGGCCGCTACCGGAAATTTGCCATATTTACTAGGGTGGAGATGTTTCACTCCAATGTATCAGAACTGCCCCAAGCTTTCTCCTGGTACTCTCATGAAAACAAAGTCAATGTGGATGAATCTTTAATAAAACCACAATTTCTCCCCTGGAGAAATTAAGAGTGCACCACCAGCCTCAGGGGCTAAATGGTTTCTAATCAAACGTTTCTTTTGCTGACCTAAACTGTCCCTTGACCAAATCTTTTGTTCGTTTTGTTCCTCTGCTCCTCAAAGCACCTACTTCCTTATTTTAAGGGGTCCTTGACCTCTAATGTGCATCTTGGTTTATAACCTTTCAAGTCAACTACTTAAATTAAGTTTTGCTGAACAAAACCTATAGCTTGTAGGTAACAAGGAGGCTTGATGCTTATAGGTGAAAAGGTCTGCTGTATGGGATATATATGATGTAACAGCTGGGAGAGAAAAACCTTTTCTTGGTTGCTTGGAGCAGTATGTGTGTTTGGGAAATAGAATACTAAGTGTTGCCTTGATTGACAGCATCTGCCACCTGGAAGTGAACATGCTTGTAGTGGGGAAAATGACAGTGTGGGTGAATCCA